TTTATTAAAATTTGAGCTTAGAAGCTTATTAAAACGTTTTGCAAATTTTTTATGGTCTGATACTTTAAAGTTTACTATGGTCTATACACTAGTGAAAAAAACTTAGGTAGACTAGATGCACTACATCATTTGTAGTCTGTCTAATTAAAATATTTCAAGTAATCAATCTTGTGTGACATTTTTTTTAAATTGATTTATTTTATAACAAAATGCATATTTAATTTTTTACCTTTTCTCTCTCTACTATCATTAATATCATAATCAATTCATATTTAATATCATCGATCTAAATATCATGTTTTTATTATATATACTATAAATAACATGGTGCACTTAATCTATTTAAGTATTTCTCATATACTTGTCTACATTTAACAAGATAGTCATTTAAATTAGATTATCTTGTGGAGCGTGGAGACCATATCCTCCCTAACCTTTTATAATTCAATGGAGTCAAATTGCAGTTCACTTCATTCATGAATTACGAACCCTTTTTTTTTTTTTTGGCCAGTAATTACGAAACCGTTGAGTTTTTTCATTTATGCCACTAAAAAGGGGTGCACTAATTTTGTTTTCCTCTCTTACATTAATAAATTATTTTTCAAATAAGTTATACTATTACATCTTAAAATTAGATATTGGTGAAAGAAAGTGCATTATTGAATTATGTATATTTAAAATAAGAAAAATTAAAACTTTATTAAATTTTTAGATAAAATTAATAAATTTAAATTTTTATTAATTATGATGATAATATATTATCTCCGTTTTTATTTATAAGAGAAAAAACTATATCACACAATTTAAAAAATTAATTAATTATATTAATTATGTTTGGAAATAAAAAAAATTGGACTACATTATCCTTCATTAATTGTGTTAATCAAGCCTTCATTAATTATCTCTTATGATTATGTATAAATAAATTTTAAGGGACGAGTTAGGAAGTTTGCAATAAATGCTTTTTTTTTATCAGACAATAAATGCTTATTTAAAAATGTGATTTTGCTTATATAAAAAAATAAGCTAAAAGTGATAGTTTCTTTTATAAATGAAAACAAAAAGAGTATGTTGGAAGTAATTTTAAATAAAATGGAAACTAGTAATATGTATGGAAATAGGGAAAAAATGTAGGGAAAATTAAATAAACTTATTTAAAGTTCCATAAATTTATAAAAAATTCCTAAATCTCATATAACTTAGTTGTAATCACACCCCAATGTCATTGAACTCAATTCATTTTTTATTGACGTTGATTGGTCCGCAAGTGTTGGTGTTAATCAAAAGGAATGAGTTCAAGCGCATTTAATTTTTTTATACAAAAAAAAAATTAATTACAATCAAGTTTCACATTATAAGTATTTTCATAATTTTATGAGATTTAATTATAAATAATTTTTTATGTGGAATCTGAATGTAATTTTATTCAAAAAAAATATTGACAGCAAATATCCAATTGTGATTATGTTGTTGGCCAAAAAAAAAAATTAAGATTATTTCCAATTCCCATGCATATGAGATGGAGCACGTTGTGCGGAACATAACTGTCGGCCCAGCGAAGCAGATTGTGGTGACGTCGCAGACGATAGCTGTTGAAGATAAGCCACGTCATCATCGGCCCCCACGAACAGCGCCTCTCATCCTGCAACGTTTCACGCAAAGAAGTTAGGAGAAGTGGGCTGTCATGTGATTCTGCTTCGCACGTTCCAAGTAATTGACTTCATGAATCTCACGTCCTCTCTATCTGACACGTGGCATTCTCGGAGGCGTTAGCCACGTGCTTCTCCCTGGCCTCTTGCAGTCTTGCGACTGTTTGGATATGCCATGGAATGATAATGCATGATGCAGCTATGAAGCTATAATACAGGAGAATATATCTTAAAATGACAATAAGATAATATATTTCTCATATTAAATTATATAATAATTTAAGATACGATTAGATATATCAATAAAATTTAATAAAAATATTTTACAAATTTAATATTTTTAAAAAATATATAAATTTAAAAATATTAAAAAATAATTTTTATTTAATATAACTTTAAATTTAAATTTACACATTTAATCATTGTATTACAATTATTTCAAATTCTCTCTTCTTTTCAAAGTTAATCTTGAAAAAGCATCATAAATAAAATTTTATTTTTATCAAATTATGTTATATTTTGAGACATAGCAAAATACCTATAAGGTTACTCTCTCTAATATAAAATATAAGTATTTTCTCTCAACTAATATTGATTCAAAATATAAGCAACCTGATATATGTAAAAAAGAAAAATTCATTTTATCTTTGTATTTGTTAACTTAAATTTTTGTGTGAAATAAGGATTAAAGATTTTTTAATGAGTTGGTTTAAATTATTTCTTTCATTACAAAATTTGTAATCATTAAAGCAAGAATTTGTAATTGAAATTTGTTAATTTGTAAATGAAAATCTTATCAAATATATTACCACTTTACCTTTAAAAATTAATTAATTACACTTGCTAAGTTTTATCTTGAGGATTGCAAATTATGGAATTGAGTAGCAAATTTTTAAATCACTTTAATCATTAAAACACTTTTTGGTCCTTCTTTCAGATCTGATCCTTTAAATTCAATTTAAACCTTTAGTTCTTTAATCTCATTCCCCTTTATAAATTCATATACAAAATATATAATATAATTCCATAAACCTTACAAAAAAAATCATAATCGGCAACCTATTTTTATTGGATCCTATGAATACATCAATAGGTTGTGTGTGTGTGTGTATTAAGTTTGCATTATTCATAAATCAGCATTGCTTATATTTTTAGATTCATATTTAAATTAATCATCCTATTAATTGATTATATATACAAGTACATTTACAACGATATAATTTATAAAAGAATTGATGTATTTGTATTGGTTTTACTTTTTTTTCTCTTCAATTATTCATTATTTTTTAAATTTTTTTCCTGATACATTACATGTTAATGAATCCACAATTCCACATATCAACGTCTCTTGTTTACATGGGGGGCCCTTAACTAACTTTGGTATTGGAAGTTATCAAATCAGGAAAAAAAAAATGAAAATCAAACTTCAATAGTCTAAAGAGGTACATATACATATAATAACTTGTTGAGTCTGAATTTTGACCTTTCTGTGCAAACATGAATCATTAATGATCATCATATTGCACGTGTTCCTCAGACTTAATTTCATTACTTTAAAGCTTTCCTTTATTTTTGACCGACATCACTTTAAACCTTTTCAATTAATTGAATATGTATTTATTTTCATTCGAATCTATGATAATATGTATTTATTTCTATTAATTATTTACATTCAGAATATTTATAGCAAAATAAAAATGAGAAAATTTATAGTTCTTTGAGAATCACAACTAAGCATAAGATGATAAGAATATGCAAAATGTATAATTAATTTATGTGAAGAGCTCAGAGCTGGCCAAGAAAAATCAATTTTTTTGGAACAGGAACGTCCTAAAGATTTCCTAGTTAAAATTCTATGAGAAATAATTCATAATTCTTTCTTAAAAATTATGCATATATAGATTACAGATATAGAAAATTGTGAATATATAAATCTATTTAATTTGAGGAAGTATATATACGCTTATACCGTATCAAATTTATGTTATTTTTCTTCTTTATTTTCTGGCCTGTATTTCTATTGTTGAGGTCTCAGTAATCATAAAAAATTATATAGCAGTCAATATATATGTATATATGTGCTTCCCTCTGGGCCACAATACAAGTACATAATTGTTAATTAATTTACATTTCTCAAAAAAATTTGGTTAGAATTTTGATTTAATATAAATTTTTACATCTTTTCAATTGTGCCCTTAAGTATAATAAGTATAACATTTAACTTATTCAAAACACCATCATTAATTACTCAATCAAGTAAGGGTGTAATTGAAAAATATATAACACCTACTTAATTAATGCCTTATATTTTGAATTAAACAATGCTTATAAAAAAATTATTTATATTATAATTTGGAGGGAGTATATTAATATACCTTATAGTAAGGTGAATGATTTTGTAAAGAAGCGAGGTAATTCTTGTAATTTAGGGCTTATGTTTTACACAATTATTTGGATCCTTTCTACTAAGTTATTGTCTCCAATTTTTTCTTTAAAATTTTTGTTATTGAATCAATAATAATAACAAGAGGGGAAAAATATCAGTCTAGTTATATGTTTGGATCCTCTCTACTGCAGGATCACAACGCGATGGCATGGGTCCATTATGACTGTAGTTATACAAATTATTCCATTGTCATTTGCAACCATCAGATTTATCCAATGGTCTAAAAAAATCATAATAAACAAATACATGGAGATAATAACATATATGGATTCATATATAACAACCACTACATGCCAACTATTGTCTAATATATAACTTCCTGGAATATTTGTGATGTCTCCTTAGTTATATGAGCCTTAATAATTTGAGTTGAATAATCGTTTTGCCCCTAAGAACATTAATTATGTCTTTGAAGTTTTCTTACAACCCAATAATTGACAACTTCACTTTATCAATATTTTATATACATGATTCATTGAATAGGGAAAAAAAAGTAATTGAAAAGGGAAAAATTAATTATGTTTCTTATAACCCTATATTTGACTTCTCTTCCTCAATATTATATATATACATGATTCATTGAGTATGAGTAGGAAAGAAAAGAAATTGATTATGTTTCTTATAACTCTATAATTGACAACTTCACTTTCTCAATGTTATATATATGTATATACATGATTCATTGAGCAGGAAAGAAGAGTAATTAAAAAAGGGAAAAAATAATTATGTTTCTTATAATCCTATAATTGACATCTTCACTTTCTCAATATTTTATACATGGTTGATTGAATAGGAAAAAGAAGGAATTAAAAAAAAAAAAAGCAAGAACAAAAACCTACCTGAGGTTCTGTCTATATAAATCTGAGAATTGCAAGTCATTGATACTCATTCAAACAGAAGAAAAAGAAAATTGTTGACTTACTTAGAGAACATGGAAGGCAACACTTTCATCAAACGTCTAACTTCATACACATTTCTCTCATTTCATCTTCTTATTCTCTTCACCCTTCTTTCTCTTGCTTCAGCCTGCAATAATAATTCCACCTTTAATCCTCCTTCCTATTATTCCAACCAAACCAGTGATTATAACTATTCCCAGAACAACACAAATCCTTCATCATCATCAAACCAAATTGTGAGTACTCACAAGAACACCATGAACACATACAAATCCTTTGTTTTCACTTCCTGCAAATCCTCCACATACCCTTCAATCTGCTATCAGTACTTATCCCAATACGCCTCAAAGATCAAAGCTGATCCCTTCATGCTTTGTAATTCCTCTCTGTCTCTCGTTCTAAAACAGGCTAAGAAAACGTCTTCACTGATATCAAAGCTTATGAGGAAGAAAAATATATCAGAGACTAGTGCTACAGCAGTGTTGAATGATTGCCTTGATAACGTGAGAAGTTCAATTGATGAGATAAAGGAGTCTCTGGATGGGATGAACCATTTGGATGGTACTGATAAGGAGTTTCAGATGAGCACGATTAAGACCTACGTGAGTGCTGCCATTACTGATCACGAGACTTGCTCTGATGGGTTAGATGAAGAGAACGTGGATGCTTCTGTGAGGGAAAAAGTCAGAGAGAGTTTGTTGAATGTGCAGAGGATGACCAGTAATGCTTTGTATTTCATCAACAATCTCAATTACTAATTCAAAGTTCAAGCATCAATGGAGGAAAAGTGTGTTTTTCAGATATGAATATAATGAAGTCAAAGTAAGAGACTGATGCGTTTGATGATTTTTTTTTTTTTGGCTACATTCTACATGGCTCCTAAGTGTTTTTGATTTATGCCTCATAACTATCTGCAGGGCTTTTCTTGCGTTGTTTTTGTTTCATAAGGGATTTTCTCTATCTGGTATATAAATTATTTAATTTGTCTTCTGCTGTGTTATTTCTTTTCGTTGGACAATTAGATCGGTTTATGATTTTCAAGTTATATTCATTTTCTGAATTATTGTCTTTATTGCATATATAATTTTAATAATGTTCAAATTATACTTGGCATCCCTTAAATGGAGACTAACAACAACAAAAAAGGTTCTCATCCTATTAAATGGATTTAGCTACATGACTTGCACGAGCCATTGTACCATGTCAAAAACAAATGTGAAAATAACAATCAAGGATCATTGACAAAAATTTATATCAATTAAAGATCACTTGTTGTTAAAAGCTAAATAAAAAGCAAGCCTGAATGGATTGTTGTTAATTTAGAATGAGTTATTGTTAAAATCTAAATAGATACTTATTGATAAAAGACTAATCTAAATCCACAAATATCCATTCGGGCTCTAAAAACACCTGATCCTTGACTAATATAAATTTTTGTTAGTGGTCCTTGATTGCTATTTTCCCAAAACAAATTGTTCGGATAAACTATTAGCAAAGAGATCTCAATGAATGACTTCTTTTTAAGTGTCCTTCTTAATTAATTAGGTCTATATTTACCTCTCACATGGCTAAAGATTATATTTGCTCACTCATCCATACCGATGCCTCTAATGGCTTTATTTGTACATGAATAAACTATCTTAAATAATTTTTTATCATTTTTTCTTGATAAACAGTGGTGGAAGGAGGGGGGACCAATAGGGGCCATAGCCCCCCAATTTTTTAAAATTTTCTTTGTTGTTACATACTTTCAGCCTCCCTAAAATTTATGAAAACTTTGTAGTATATATGTTTTTTAATCTTGACCCCCCTTATTCTTAAATCCTAGCTCCGCCCCTATTGATAGATGGCACACCAACTTAGCTTGTCCTCTTGTATGATTATTACATGTATATTATCTTTTTCTTGATCACCACACATCTATCTCAAAATCTTCATCTCTGTTACCTCATTTTATGCTCATGTTGCTTTTTCAATATTCTCAACATAACATTCACTGCTATGTAGCATCTCTGGCCTTACACCGATCCGATGTATAAAATTCACCCCTACAAAGGGAGCTAATTAAGTTCCTTTAATACCCCCCTCTTTAATATTGTAATGACCCTTTTTTAAATTTTTTTTATGTTTTTGGTTTTTAGAACCTGAAGATTACTAAAAATAAGTACAATCCCAGGTAAGAAATTTAAAAAAATGAGAAAAGAAGAGTAGTAGAGGAAATATTAGAGATAGAAGAGATAAATAAGTCATACATCTAGTAATTAGAAGATAAATTAAGAATACATACATACATACATACATACATACATACATACATACATACATACATATATATATATATATATATATAAAGTTTAGAATATGTCTAACCAAATGGCTTACAATATTTTAGTGTAGACTATCCTTAAACTTATTTAATATAAAGAATTTAAAATGATATCATGAGATATTTGATTGGGAAGAAAAACAAAACAAAAGAGGGAAAAAAAGAATGAATGAAAGATGAAAAGATTTAAAAAAAACAAGGGATTAAAAAATAAAAAAAATACAAGAAGAACAAGAAGAACAAGAAGAAATTGAATAGAGTTGAGGCCTTTAAAACTTGAAAGAAAAAAAAAAGGAGCACAAGCAGAGGCAAGAAGAAAAAAGAAAATGAAAAAAAATCAAGAAAAAAATAAAAGAAAACAGAAGAAAAATAATAGAAGGAATATTAGAGATAAAGAAAGAAGGCCCACATCTAAAAGATAAAAAATAGATTAATTTCAACAATTAGTTGACTTAAAAAAACACAAAAAAGATTTAAAAATGACAAAAGATGACCCAAAAAATATGGATAAGTATCGTATAAAAAAATTAATACTAATTAATTAAGTCTCCTAAATTATAACTAATACCAAGAGACAAATGTTATTCCATGTTATGTAAAAGACCAAATACTATTTTAACCAACTACTTTGACAAGCTATTAGATGATTATCAAATCATCATGGTTAGAATTAACGTCAAAAAATTAATTAAAAATGATATATTCATTTTAATGATATCTTATTAAAACATGAACACTTTTATAATTAATAATCTTTACCGGTGTTATTGCTAGCAATGATAATCTGATAATAGTTGGATAAACTGACTGGTCAAAATGGTATTTTGTTCTTTTATATGGGCAAGAAGCAACATTATTCTCTTAGAATTTATTTGTACTTTAATGAACTTAATGAATATTAATTTTTTATAAGGTCATTTATGTAATTTTTGAGATTTTTTGGTATTTTTTAAGTTAAATAACAGTTAAACTTAACTTATTTAATGGAAAAGAGCAAAAATATACCATTTTCAAATGTTGAGAGGGACTTTGCACCACCAAAAAGTTTAGGATACCAAATATTTTTACCTAAATAATTGAGAGGCAAAAATATCTTTTAACCCATTTAACATTGAACATTCACAATTTGACACTCCAAATTAAAAAAGGCTAAAGTATTTTTTTGATTCTCTAATTTTATATAAGATTTTAATTTAATTCTTTAACTTTATAAAGTATATTTTTATTTTTTAATTATAACATTGTTAGTTTTAAATGATTATTTTTTTTGTGCTATTCATTATTATTTTAAAATAATTAAACTTAATATGTAAACATTTAAAAAATATTTTGTCACTATTTGAAAGTTTTATGTAAAAAAGTTTTATGGTAAAATTAACAGTGTTAGGATTAAATGACTAAAAATATGCTTTATAAAATTAAGGGATCAAAATAAATCTTGTAAAAAGTTAAAGGATTAAAAATATTTTAGCCAATCAAAGAATTTACAACTCATGTTCCAACACTTAATTAACCGCAAAAAATGAAAAAGGAAACGTCATTACGTGCAGTGATTCAATTACTTTCTAAAACTAATCACTCAAGTACGCGCGAACCATTTACAATTTCCATTTCTGTGTTTAACATGAAAGAACCAAAAGTCCTAAATAGAAAATAAACAATAAGTTGGTCTTAAATGAAGTCAATTTATGCAGAAATAACCTAATTAATCTGTATATATTCCATCTGGTTCCTACTACGGGGCACTTTTTAAAAAGTTCTTTGGTCTTTAATATAAGGAACTTGATTGGCATTAATTACTCCTACCATTAAAAAATATAATATATTTTTTGAGGAGTTAATCTTTTGAGGTGTAATCATTATTTTTTTTTTAAAGTGTCTCTATTGATGAATAACTTTATATTTATTGTAAAGTGTTTAATAGGGGCAAATATAAAAAAATAGGATTAGTTTGAAAGTATATAATTAATTTATTGAGGATGAGATTCGGTTAAAAATACCTTTTATTTTTGAACGAAGGGAGTATATTTTTTCAATATTATCCCTATTCAAATTCATTAATTATGAAAGAGAATATAATACAAATTTAAAAAAAATTCATTTAATTAAATAGAGGAAAAAATGGAAGTTTGTTACGTTTTTAAAATGAGGTAGAAGTACTTTATAATAGGGACATTAGGAAATACTCCATCCGTCCCAAATTATAAGATATTTTTACACAAAATTTCATATATCAATAAATCTTATTAAATACACTTAATAACTTTATCTTTTCAAAACAAAAATATAAATTTTTAAAAATATCCATCATTTAATATATTGAAAAGAGAAGAGATGAAAATTAATTATAGAGAGAGAAAAGATAATTGTATTTAATACAACTTCAATCTATTTAAAGTGTTATATATTTTAAAATGAAAAAACTCTTTTAAAATTGTTCTATAATTTGGGAGGAAGGTAGTAATATATATGAAATATGTCAAAGTATTCATGACCTAACAGTACACTTTATTTCTCAACTTCGTATAGTTTATAAGACTCACACTAATCTACTCATATAAATAAGAATACACTAAAAAACATGCAGAAATAAGCATATGAGAGAAAATGTCCCCGCATGAGAAAGAAATGGAATTGACAGTACATGCATGTGCAGTGCCAAGTTCATGAATATATGATACTTTTCGGGAAAGCCAGTTTGAACAAAGTTTGAAGAAAGTTTGGCACCGAGAACTGTGAAGACTGAGGTGTATATATTTTCAAGAACAGCTAGTAATTTGGGTTAACTCCAAAAAAATTTAGAACAGAACTTAGTAAAATTATGGTTTTTTTTTAAATGTTCATGCTTATTTAAGTTGTTTTGAATAAAATCGAATACCTGAATACAAAAAAAATTATTTTAAAAAACATATACAATATATTAAGTATTAATGAATTCTTTAAGTTTTAAGTTATTTTGCACTAAAATTTCATATATTTTAATACATTATTATAAATATTTTTTAAAAAATAAAAATATTTATATTATCATATTTTATTATTTTTAACCTATAAATATCTCAAAATAATATTTAAAATATATTTTAATATTGATTTGTAAATTTTGAGATTCGTATATTTTTTAAAAAAAAATTGAATCTTCTACATTGCTTAAGTATTCCAAAAAATATATTTTATATTTTTTATAAAATAAAAATAATTAATTTTAAATTCAAATATTTAATTAAAATTAATTTAAAAAAATTAATGATTCAGATATTCGAGCCTATTCAAAGAAGTTTAGGCTAGGAATGGCTATTCAAGCCAGCTTGAATAAATCTGGTCTAAATATACTCAACCCATCCAAATTAACAAATTTATTTTCAGGTGTCGCATATATATATAGTTGGTTAGTCTATGTAGGATTTCATGAGTTCCTGATACTGGATAAGCTTCAATAGTGAATTGAAAAGTTCTACTTTAGAAGTAAATGGATTACAGAAAGAACTAAAGAAACGTATTGAATACACAAAATGTTTGGTTAAGATGTGTAATGTCAGGAAAAAGAGAGAGAGGGGACGTTAAAGAAGTTTGGCACCAATGTGAAGATTTGACCATATAATTTCACTGCGGCCGGTTCAAAGCCGCCAACAATTCAAGCGCTAACATGGGGGTTAGCAGTATTTGACCACACACATAAAAAAAAATTGGGATTTTTTATTTGTTGGTAGTTCTTTTTTTGTTTTTTTCCTTTTGCTTCGGTACTCGCCTTTAATCCAAACTAATTTGGCATGCAGCTTGTGCTGCTTCACTTTGATAGGCATACCTCCCCCCAAAATTTAATTATTGTTATGTATTTAAGATTTGAACTCGAGACTTCTGATTAAATTAAATCAGCTCTCTAGTCAATTGGTATATATAGAATTGAATAGTTACACTTTGTTTAACATATTTATTTAATATTTTTTGTGAAAAAATAAATCTAGGAAGAATATCAATGAAGTATCCTTGAAAAAAAAAATTAATTTCCAACAAGGACATTAGACTAATTAGATACTTGTTAAAATAATAACTTCAATTATTAATTTGTTAATATTAACTTATTAGAAATCCTTATCAATATTAAATTCTTTCAAGGTTTTTAGTTGATATTGTCCCACAAATAATCTAACTAGACATTTCGGGTTTATAAAAAGAAAATTCTAAAAGTGATTCAAACAATTATTAAGTTTGGCACAAATACAAGAATTTGGAGATGGGAGGGGTGCCTACAAATGTGAAGTATGGCATAAAGTGATACTAGTGCAACACGTTTGTATTTTAGACTCATAATTACATGAGAGGGTTTGTTTGGGTTCATGTATCTAGTTCAACATAGGAATAGATGACGAGTCAATTGACATGTTGAAATTAATCTAGTTTATTTCTTTTCTGATAAATTATCAATAGTGAATTACATGCGGGTGAATATATATGGACTAATTAATTTAATGGTAAATATAAAGGCTGAGTCTAGCTAGTAAAAGTGATTAGTCTCACATAATGTAATGAATTAAGGTTCAAATCTCACTTTAAAGGGGTGCCACATTTAGTGTCCTACCTTGTTTCAAAAAGAATTTTTTCATGAGAGAAAAATATCTGTGATTGATAATATATACATAAACATATATACTTTTTCAATTTTTATCTTTAATATAAGATAAATGAAATGTTATTTATTATCATTTTTCAATGTTAACCTTATTGTAAATTTAATTTTATGACTAAAATTGAAAAAAAAATCATTTTAAGATATTTAATGAGTTAACTTGGCACAAAGATTAATGAATTAACTATCATTTTTTAATTTTGATGAAATAGTTGAAAGCATTTTATAATAAAGATAATATAAATTGTATATACATTTATATATTTTTTTCAGGGATCAATATAGTGAATTCTTCATCATTTAATGTGTGACAAAAACTACATATTTTTTAAGGTGAGTTGTGATCGTAATTTTTTTAAAAAAAATCTTATTATAATTCGAAAAGACTGAAAAAAATACAATCATTAACTAGATTTCGGCTGGGTACATGATCTCGTACTTGATTCGTTTGAATTGATTTTCGTGCTAGAAAATTATTAATATATTACTAGTTGTCCTTAGTCCAGGCTAAAAGACACGAACTCATTAATTGATCACAATCCAAGCCTACTATTACAATAAGTTTTTGCAGAAATATAATTTGTTGATCCTAATACTCGTAACGTGTTTTGATGTAAATTTTTATGCTTTTTATTCTGCTGTTTCAAATTCATAAATTTCATTTGTCTATAATGTGAGTTTTTATATTTTTAAATATGACCATAAAAATTTAATAGTGATCAACATGTATATAAATTTTATTACCTTTTACACTGATTGATCAAAATTATAAATAAGTTGTACAAAAATGAGTAGAAAAAAAAATAAGACATTACACACAGCTTATAATTTTATCAACTCACTAACTTATAAAGGACTAAACACCAAAATATGTTGGAAGTATAGAAACTATCAGCTATATTTTTCCTTGACTTTTTAAATATTTCATCATTCCTTAATTATGAGATTCAACTTATCTAAATGCAAATATTTTTTAAAAAAAAAAGAACTATTTAGTTGATGTGTAAAAAATTATTTTTCTTTTACTGTTTTGCCCTCTTATCGAATATCATCATTTTAAATTTTTCAATTTCAATTAAATCTCCTCAGTTATACAAGGTATTTAGAGAAAAAAATTGATTACTCTTAAAATTAAGGAAGAATTACATCTAAGTGCCACACAAAAAATTAATTATTACAAGGTTTATTGACAATTGAATTAAGAAAATTGACAACACAATCAGTTGTTAATTTTTTTAATTTAATTATCAATGAATTTTATAATAATTAATTTTTTTATGTAGGACTTCAATACAATTCTCCTTAAAATTAACTTTATTATGGAACTTATAAGTCATGTGACAACTCTAACATTTGGATCTTATAATTAGGTAGACGGTTAAGAGAGTATTATATGTTTGTTCTGATCTTATTTATAAATCGCTTCTAGCATTTATATTGGATTAAAGAAAATCTTAAATCTCATGAATTCTATTTAAAAATTTAATAAGTTTTTAAATTTACTTTTATTAAATATATATAACTTAATAATAAAATATTATAACATATAATAACATTTGTAACATTTAACAAAGGCAAAAAAAGTAAAGACAAATACAATAATTTTTAAAGTTTTTATAAATGAGACTAGAATAAATATTCCATTCTTACCGATAAATAGTATCGAAGGAGTATTATTCTAACACATGCGTGAAATGTGAATTTGGAAAGTCAGTGCCAACCCATTGCTTTCACGGAAATCTAAATGTCAAAATAATTAATGATCACGGCATGTGGATTTTATTTTATTTTATGTGCATTTAGACATGTCTGACAAGGAATCTCCATGTGCCATCTCCATTTTATATGGAATTAACCAGCATTCATCCTGAAATATGATAATTAACAATTAATGCATCATTGATTTTCCAGAAAATTGATTTTTTTATGGTTGCTCTAATGATAAATTCATTCAATTTTTCATTTGGTGCATTCCCATTTGAAAAATTAAAATTAATTTCTTATAATAATTCAAATCCTAGCTATAATTATATACTCCCTCTAATATTTAATATAAGACAAGCTTATTCAGTGTCAAGCTTATTAAAAAATCATAGTTATATCTTTAATATCATTAAATAAAGTATGTAACTTTCCAATTTTTTCTTTCTTTGCAATTAATAGCAATAATAAATTGTTATCCATAAATTCAAACCATAATAAATAAAGAAAAGCGTAAAATTAGAAAATAAAATTAATTACTCTAGCTTTGCCTTATATTAAGCATACCAAAATTTTTTTTAAAATTTCTCCTTATATTAAAGACTGGAGGGAGTATTATCTTGAGATTCTAAATATATATTATTTATTACTTCAATAAATGAGATTATATATATAAATATATATAATCAACTAATCAAGTGAGATTATATGCATGGCTACACGGTGATAAAAAATATTGATAGGGACTATAATAAAAATTATTCAAACTCTGAGCATTTAATTATATATAAGATTAAATTAAAATTTTGAGTAAAATAATAAGAATAGAAAGTAAAATTAATTTCTCCTTTATTTTCCCTGTTTTCTTCTTCTTCTCCTCCTTCTGTACTCGCATGTGCACAATTTGCCTATAAAAGGGCCAAATTCATTCCTTTCAAAGGGGGAAAAAAACATAGAAAGGATGACCAAACAATCAATGGCTTCATCAAGATCTTGTTCTCATCACAACGCTTTCTTCTCAATCCTTCTTTCCTTTTCGTTAATAATCTCAGCCTCCCACATAGCCATTGCTTCTTCTTCTTCATCTTCTTCAAGCTCCACCAATACCCTAGAAACCTACAAAGCTTTCATTAAAGATTACTGTAACTCCACCACATACCCTAAAAATTGCTACAAGTATCTCTCTCCCTATGCCTCTATCATCAAAACAAGCCCTCTAGTTCTCACCAAATCCTCTATTTATCTTGCTCTCAAACAAACCAGCAAGTCCTTTTCTGCTCTCAAATTGCTCTCCAAGGTCAAGGGTCTAACTCGCAATGAAACCCTAGTCATCAAGGACTGTGTCGAGAACATCTACGATTCACTCGATGAAGTCAAGCAATCGGCCATCGCCGTCAAGGGCTTGACCGGCGGTAGCACCTCCGATGAGGCATTCCAATGGAGTAACATAAAGACGTGGATGAGTGCTGCCATTACAAGTTATACGACTTGCACTGATGAGTTTGATGAGATGAAGATAAGTGATTCGTTGCAGAAGAAGATCACAAGTGGTGTCTCAAAAGCTCAAAATATGGTTAGCAATGCTCTCTCGGTCGTCAACAAGTTCACTGATTTCTTATAAGGCAATCAGATTTGGATCCTCTCAGAGCTCACAGATCAAATTGAATAGGGAAATTACAACTGTTGGTCCTATATTTTTTTAGTGTGTTTTGATATTAGTTTTTATACTTTTTTTTATTTGCTTCAAGATCCCTAAGTTTCATCTGTATGTAACATTAGTTCAATATTTTTAAATATGACCATAACTTAACGATTATTAACATGTACATAAAACTATATGTTACTTTCTTATATTGAATTTTTAAATTATGATAGTAAGTTTACCTACTCAATATAATAAAATTAACAAAATTATGTATATATACATCAGTAAATTTAACTCTGTCAGTTAAATCCCAACAATTTAAAAAAAAAATGAGTTGCAAATATCAATTTAAAAAGTTACAAAACAAGAATCTCAATGTAAAATGCGAGTCACATTTAAAATTTAAATACTTTATTTATAATTAAAATTTATGAATTTGCAGTTAATTAAATCAATATTTGTTTTTTTTTTTAACAAAATTGTCAATCGAGGCCTAACTGTCGTTCTAATCATTCTCCGAGATGTACTTGTGAACCTTATTCTATACCATAGTTCCCTTGATTTTTTTTATCAATTTTTATAATTCAGAAATCTGTAATTAAGTCCGTATAATAAATAGTATTATTCAAAATCTGTGAACTTTTATAGAAGTAGCTAGTTACTAAAGAAATAAGAAATAAAAATAATAAAATAATACATTAACTCATAGGGATTAACTTGCAAAATATTTATAACATAAGGAAGAAATTAAAATTTTAGATAAATGATGAGAATAAAATATTATAATTCTCCTAAAATTATTTTCTGTCCATGATTACGTCTGAAATAATGATTCAAATCTGAGAAATAGTGACAAATTAAGTCTTGCCCTTCCTGCAACATTTCACTGCAAAAATATGTATACATATAAGCAGTGGCAGAGCCATATGTAATTGAAGCCCACTTGGAAAAAATGATATGTTTGGAAGTATAGATTTTTATATGTTATAATTTACACATTTTATTTATTATACTTTACACCCCCTTATTTTTATATTTTAAACTTTAAACTCATTTCAATCTTACTTTTTTAGCCCAGATCTATTCAAATTTTTAACTTAGCCTCATGAATATTAGCCTACAATTTTATTATATCTAAATACCAATATTATTTATTAATTGTTTAAAAAATAAAAAAAATTATATGACTAAATAGACTCGTTTCTCATCCTGAATACTACTCAGGAACTAGTTAAAAAAAGGCAATAATAAATAATAAAGATTCAAAACTCAAAAGCAAATTAGGTGAATGTTTTTCGTTAGCTCACTGTACTTACAAATCTACAATTGAAAGCTAGATAGAGAAAGAAAGAAAAAAAGAAAAAAAAATTGATTTGAAAGAAATAAAAATATTTTCCTTTTACTAAGAATCCTAGTTCCGTTATTATCCCTCCATGACTCAGGATCCTGACTCTATCATTGCATATAAGCATGTGATTGATGTTTATCCTTAGTTATGCGCATGTGCCTGATGCTATATATACGCAGATAATTAAGGTTTATGTATCATTCTCGCTATACAAAAGCTGCAGTTCATAATGGTATTGGAGGCCCAAAAACTTATTATATACATTATCCAAAACGTAATATAAAACAACTTTTAAAAATTATATTTGGTCAAAAATATAGGATACTAAGTATTTTTTATGATTATTTTTTTTAACTTTATACACCTCTATTTCATTTATTACTCTTTGTAAAAAAATGTATTTACATTTGAAGGCACTTATATAAAATATTTAATGAGAATATACTTAAAAAAATGTAAAATTTTTTACTCCTTTTAAACTACAATATAGGTCATTAGCTACTTTGAGGTTATAAAAAAAAAAACAGCTTGATGAAATCACGCGGCTTGTTTGATTTTGTTTTTTTTTTTTAGAACAATTCTATAAAAAAAAATTTTAGCATGAGTTTTGAAAAAAAAATGAAAAAAAAATATTAGAATCACTATTATGAAAAAACGCATTCAAAGTGGTGAAATAAAGAGGGAAATAATTATTTATTTTATTAACATAATTTTAATAAATGAAAACATCATATTTTCTGTCTCTTTTCTATTTTTGCAACAAAAAGTGACAAAACATGAAAAAGATGTTCTGGTTTCTTAGTTTTTCAAATCAATTTTTAACTGTTTAATTTTTCAAAACAGATAAAAAATACATTTTAATTTATAGAATTTTTTATGTTTTTAAATAAAAAAACTGTTTTGAAAACAGCTTATCAAACAGGCCTTTAATATCTTTAAAAAAATTACATATTTTTATTATACTCTCATTATATGTCCTTTATAAGTGCTTTAATAATGATAATTAAAATTTCAATACATCATTTTTTAGAGTAATAAATGAAGTAGAAATATAGTTAAAAAATAATAATAAAAACTACCTATTATCCTTTATTTTAGACCAACCAAAGTTTCATTAAGGTCCCAACTTTTTCTTTTTAAGAACCGTGAAATAATTATAAATGCTCTGTATTTGATTTTTGAACATGAAAGGCTCAAATTCTAGCATTAGTGCCAGATTTGGTGGATGAGCAGTATACTTATTATTAATTTATTAAATGTATAAAAAATGAACACGCATATTGGAATTGTCACTTTCAACTTTGAAAGTGCCGCTTTTGCTTAAATAAAAAAAAGCAGAAAAAATTATTCATCTAGTATTTGCATTTTAATTTAGTTGTAACTTAATCTTTAAATTTTGACTCGTTATAACTCAATTTTTAAAGTTTTGACTCAATTTTAAATCAATCCATGAACTTTGCTTCTTGCAATTTAGTTCTTAAAGTTTCAACCTTTTAAATATTGATCCCTAAATTTTAAAAAATAAAATTATTAAGATTAAAAATATTTTAAAATTTATTATTAATATTTTAAATTATTAAATCCTTTTAATCTTTAAAATATTTTTAATCTTTATAATTTTATTTTTTAAAATATAAGGACCCAATATTTAAGAAGTTGAAACTTCAGGGACTAAATTGCAAGAAGCAAAGTTCAGAAATTAATTTAAACCGAGTCAAAACTTTAGAGATTGAGTTAGAATAAGTCAAAGTTAAGAGACTGAATTACAACTAGGTAAAATTATAAGGATTAAATGATTAATTTTTTTTAAAAAAATTCAAAGTGCCACCTTAATTTCATTGTTAGTTTTTGGGGCTTGCCAAAATCGTCGGTTTTTTTAACAAACATACAAATGAGTCATTTTTTAAAAAAAAAAATACAATCAGTCAAATTTTATGTCCCTAGTTTTTGCGTCCTTTCTAAAACCGTGGTAAACAAGCTAAAATAATAACTAATGTAAAAAGGGTTTTTTTTTTTTTAACTAGGGACGATAAAACTAGTTGTAGCTATAGTGAAAAAGAGTTAACCCATACATTGGAAGGCCACTTTTAATTAATTAATAATATTTGAATCTAATCTAATATATAGTATGAAGAATGACACTTGCTTCCAAAACTTTAAATTAATGGCATTTAGGTCTCTGGCAAAAAAAAATTTAAAAAATAACTTGAAAATATTGATTTAAACAAGTGCACATTCGAAAGTTTTAATTGCAAATATGATATCTAAATTTCAAATGTAACTATCAAATAATATTTAAAATTCTTATTTGTAACTATTTGAATCAATATTTATAACTTATTTTAAAGAAAATTGTCATAGGTCTAACAATTGTCATTAATTTAATATTTTAAGATGTAACATCTCATTTATTTTAAATATCCAACATCAATAAATAATAACCTCTATCAATGAAAATTAGAATTAGTCTCTCACAATGTGATAAATTAATATTTGAATTTTCTTTGTACAATAAATACATTTAATGTTTGATCTTGCCTTAAACAAAGTTGTCTCTAATTCAAAAACACGTCTCATTAGTATAATATGGGATGAGGATTTACTAAATAATAAGAATTTTTACTTTCCCGACCTACTCTCTCTTCCCCTTGGGGTTTTGACATCAATCATACTTTTTCTCTCTCTGTACATATGAAATGGAAAAGAGAAGCTTCCCGTCTTCAAACATCACAGATCAGAAATAGTAGAAATTTTAAATTATAAAGTGCTTGAAATTATTTCGGAGTTCACATTAGCTGTGGAAGGATGATAATCAAATTCCAATAATCATAACTTGCAAATTAAGTTATTATATTGTGTTGAGGGGGTTGACAAATGGCCAGACATAATGTAGTTTATTATATTTTTGTTGTTAAATATGTCAATTAAAATTAAAATACAATAATTATACAAATCTCTAATAATATAATTTGAAGATGTATAATTTAATTAAGGAATCCTCAAACTGCTAACTAATAATAATATGAGAAACCGCATGTTTTTCAGGTTAAAGTCTTTGTTATTTAAAATAAATATTTTAAAAGAAATTGAAGACAAAGATGTTTGTGTTTTCTGGCCTAATTGAAAGCCAGTTATATTTGCAATCATAAAAAAATAATAAACTAATCTTAATTATTAGGTCAATGATCAATAAGTACCAAATAGTCCTTGAAGGAAAATCTAATCACGGCGGCTAAGTAGTTGAAGATGATGTGGCAAAAAAAAAAAAAAAACAGTCTTTAGCATTATTTGAAATTCGAGTTCGGATTTGTCTAAAGCGCAATTTGGGAAGCTGAAAGAAAAGGGAAAATCTATGGGAAAAAGTTTATATATAATAATAATAATACTCAATAATGTTATATATTTTGAATATTTTAAAAACCTAGTTATATAAATTTGAAATTTTATATTTAAATTAATAAAATTGACAAAAAAATTAGTTTATTTCTTACTAGATCAAATTTTGAAAAGATAATAGACATCATCTTCACATTCTAAATCTACGTGATTCATTATAGTCAATTAAGATCTCTTATATAGATGGTATAATATTGACGAGATTGTTCAAACGTTGACGATTCATTCTAAATTTTTTAAACAAAAAGAATTAAATTAAAAATTGAGCAAATTTTTATTTTCCCATTCTATTTTCTTCTCTCGTTTTTTTTTTATTTCACTTGCTTCAATTTTCAAACACCCAAGTGCACAATTTGCCTATATAAAGGACCTTTTCTTCACGCCAATCAAAGCAAAAATAAAGAAACAAACAAAACAGTCATGGCTTCATATCATCACATCAGTTTCTTTCCAATCCTTCTTTCTTTTTCTTTAATCGTCTCAACCTTCAACATAGCCATCGCTGCTTCATCTTCGTCATCAGCATCATCTTCTCCATCCACCTCCGCTAAAACCCTAAACACCTACACAACTTTCATTAAAGATTACTGTAACTCCACCACATACCCTAAAAATTGTTATAAGTTTCTCTCTCCTTATGCCTCTGTGATCAAAACAAGCCCTCTAATTCTCACCAGAGCTTCTATTTATCTTGCCCTGAAACAAACCAGCAGGTCATCGTATGATCTCAGATCGCTGTCTTTGTTCAAGAATCTCACTCACAATGAAACCGTAGTGATCAAGGACTGTCTCGAGAACGTTTATAGTTCCCTTGATAGGGTCAAGCAATCTGCCGTCTCCGTCAAGAGCCTGAAAGGCGGCAACAGCTCCGACGATGAGGCTTTCGAGTGGAGTAACATAAAGACGTGGATGAGTGCCGCCATTACTGGTTATACGACCTGCACTGATGAATTTGCAGAGAAGAAGTTAAGTGATTCATATCAGAAGATGATCTCAAGCAGAGTCATGAAAGCTCATGACTTGGCTAGCAATGCTCTCTCTGTCGTCAATAAGTTCACCAACTATTGAACTTGAATCCTGATCTTGTGATACAGCTGATTACAGGACTGAAAAGCTAATGGGAAAGTATCCTTGTGATGTTTATTTATTATTTTTGATCATATAACTTGTGATCATTGTGGCTTCATTGAGTTTTATTTTGGTCTTCATAAATTATGAATTTGAAATTAAGTACTTATATGTAGTTTTTCTTCAAGTTAAAACTTTGTCAATATCATCACACAAAAAAAAAGCTCTCTCAATATCTTGCTTGGTGGAATTTGGATTGATGGTTCAGATTTGGATTTTAGATTTAAAATTTCACCTTTAAAATTCATATATTTAAAGGCATTTGTTTGGATAGCATAAAAAATTTAAAAGAAAAAATAGATGAATTGAGATTTGAAACAAAAATAAAAAAATTGAGAGAAGAGGCGAGAGACCAGAGTGAGAACATCAAGAGAAGAGGCAAAAGTGATAGAGACACCAAAAAATGAAAACATGAACAAAATGATTGTTAGAGTGACTAAAATTTTAAATAAATAGAGTACATAGGGAATTTAAAATTGTAAAGAAATTATAATAAATCCAAACACTACATTAATTTCTTTTATTAAAGTATCCTGTTAAATTTTATTGATGTGAGTTATGTTTTACCTAAATATAATATTAATTTACAGGGACTAATTACAAGATATACAAAATATAAGGGGGGAATGTAAAACTGATTGAAATTATAAGAATAAAAAATTATAACTTTCCTAAAATTATTTTCTGTCCAGATTACGTTTTAAATGATTTAAATTAAAAAAAGGAAAATCAGATCCCCATACCCTTGAATTCCTTCAATATTCGGATGGATCTCTATACACGTGCTTTGCTGCTCCATATACGCAGATAATTAAGCTTTATGTATCATTCTTACTGTACATATATAAGCCAGAGTCCATGATATATGGTATTGGAGACCCCAAAGTTTAATTTAAATATTAAATATGAAAGTGCTGAAATTCCAGCAATTTATTATATATTAAAATTCTAGCTTAGTGGCAAGGCGAGTGCAGATTTGGTGGATGAGCATTATACTCATTATTCTTAATTATATTAAATTGGAGCATGTTGAAAATATAAACCAGTAGTGGTGGGGTTGGTTAGTATAAGGTGAAGGGTTTGGAATTTTACCAGTAGCAAAAAACAAACATATTGGGACTATTTTAAATTGTGGAAAGAAAAAAATCATATTGCAAATTTGGAGATCTGTTTTAAATTAAGTTTGACTATTTTGGCCAAAAAATTATTAAGTAAGTTGACAATAAATACACACTCAAATTTTACTCATTAATTAGTACTAGATACGAGAGAGCTGTATAAAACAATCTACATGATGATCGTGGGATGGGATTTGCATCAATGTTGACAAATTCACTTACTTAATAAAATGTCTCAAATATAGTTATTATATTTCATCAACACTTGAATATCATTAAAATACATTTTCTTGTAAAATTTTATAATAACACTTACAATTAGAACACTCCTCATGCATGTTGTCTCCTCCAAAAATTCATAACAGCCATGAATTTGTTTTGCGATCTAATCTGATCTAATATGAGAAGTGAGACTTGGTGCTTTCTAAGTATCATATCATATTTGATAGAATTGAAGAGTCAAACATTTTACACAAATTTATTAATTAATAACATATCTAGTACACAGGGAGTTATTTTTCCAAAAAGGAAATGATAGATGTACCCAGAAAGAAAATCAGATTGATGCGCTTCTCTTTTTTTTTTTTCTCTCAAATATTTTTCAATCTATCAAATATTTCATTAGAATATTAAACACCAATTTTTATGAATCATGAATTTAATTTTCTTTGCTGTAGACACCTATCCTGTGATCGAATTTGATTTCTAGTGATAACAGTGTGCAGATCAATGTATTTGAACCATCCAACATTAATAAATAATCACCTCTTGTTGACCAAAAAATAAAATCACCTCTCTCTCTCTCTCTCTCTCTCTCTCTATATATATATATATATTTATATATATCTAAACACAAAGAAGAGAACACTGGCCATACGTCCTCAAACATGACAGTCAGAACTGGAAGAATTTAGAGAAAATCACAGTGAAATTTTTTAAAAAAAATTAATTACAGTTAAGTTTTAAATAAAAATTTTTAAAAAAATTATAAATATCGGTTTAAATAATTACAAACTCAGAAATTCTAATTACAAATGAAACATTTAAATTCTAAATATAACTCTCTTTTATTACAACTATGTAAATCAACATCCACCACTCATTTTTCAGAAATTTTTATTGAGGATGGTCCAATTGTCATTAATTTGATCTTTTGATGAGACTTTAACGCTATTCTACCGCGAATTTAATCACAAATTAAAGTGGAATTTTGAGTTCACATTGGATGCGGAAGGGGGAGGATTAAATTCCATCATGACTTACAAATTTAGTTATTATTGTGAGGATTGGCAAATTAAATCAGTACATGTGTATCATTCATAAGTCATGATGGATTTTATATCATACTCTTATTGATATTATTAACATATTAAAATATACTTGTCTTGATTTAATAATTAGATAAAAGTATATTAATTAAGTACATAAGTCCCTGAGTACCCAAGTCTTTTATGGACTTAATTAATATATTAAGGACCAAACCTTCTAGAAGACGCTTTGTCCTAGGAACTCGAGAAAATTTATTATTAAATGATGTATATTTAATAGAAGTATAATTAAAAATTTTAAATACAGTTGATAAATTTTAAAATTTTTTTCAATTATGATGAAATATATTTAAAAGTGATTTATAAATAATTGCAGAAGAATATATTCACATGATCTGACGTAACAGTTGATCAAAATTGAAGGCGCATATCTTTGAAGTTCATGAGAAAAGATGTGGGCAATGTTCTTAAAAAAACACTACAAAGAAAAGATCTGTGGGCAATAAATGCAATATCGTAGCAGAAAGGAAGAGAACTTAACGGCAAAGCATATGATTATAAAGCACTGAATTCGATTCACATTTTTCCTTGTTTTTGTTATCACTTTATCCAATCCCCTATTAGTTTTATTAATTTACTCGTCCAGTTTTGTTTATGAATTATTTAAAATATATTTTATTAAAATTAAGAAAAACCTTAAAACTCTTATCTAAAAATTGAATACTCCCTCCATCCCCATATATAAAGTATTTTTTAAAAACTTATTTTGTCCCTAAATATAAGGGTGGCAATGAAATTTTTGAATAATTAGATAATTTTACCCTTGTCTTGGAAAATGGAATAGATAATTAATGTATGTTTTTCCTACTACCATCATGATATTAATTATGATATTATTAGGGGTAAAACTGAAAAAAATCATTATGTTTTTATGTGAGTTCAACTAAATAACAAACATTTATTGGTATATATGATTCTATCAAAAATACCTTATATATAAAATTAGAGTGAGCAAGTTATCAACTTTGCTCTTATTAAATATACATATTTTAACAAAATATACTTTCTCTCTCTAACATTTAATGAAAGGTAAAAGAAAATTTATGATCAAAAATTAATGATATAAGTAACTTATAAATAGAATTAGAAGTGTTTTTAGTTCACAAATCCCCAAATAAACCTTCCCCCCACCCTTTGTACTTATCTAGTTACATATTCTTTCCGTCTCAAATTATAGTTTGAAATTCCCCCCCCCCCTTTGTTTTGTTATTTTGACTCAGAGACTCTTTCCCACGTCTTCTTGCATTGTCCATTTGCAGGGCCTTTGTTGGTTTGGCGGTTTATTGAACTTACAAATTAATGATCATCCTGAATGGACTATACAAGCATGGCTGATATGTGTTGGATTAATCAATACTTGATTGTTCAATCAGCTCAAATTGATGTTGGTGTATCTGATCTTCTCCCATTTTATATGTTGGAGGCAATCTGGTCTTTCCGAAACCAAAATTTGTTTAAAGTTGCAGGGAAAGAGTTTATGCCGACAGAAGCAATATCAACAGCGAATCCACGTGCAATGACTTGTATGTTCAATTCTCGAAGTCCAATGTCTCTTAAGCACTCTCAACGTTGATTATCAGGATCTTTTAAGGAGTCACCAGTTCCACCACGTACGTTGTTGTGATATCCTAATTTTTGGTTGGTGGATTTTGGTAACATACAGCAAGCAGAAGCGATAATGAGTCAAGCCTACAAGCAAGCCCGAAAATTTTTAGGACCAAGTCTAAAAAATGTAAAAGCTTTTTTTTTTAACTCTAAATAATTCAAAAAAATTCAGGCAATGCTCAAACTCAAATGGACTTAACTCAAATATCAAATTTTTTTATTATTAATAAATAATATAAAAATTAAAAATATTAATTTTTTTCATAAAAATTGAATTTAGTGCCCGTTTGAATTTCAGTTGGGTATAATAGATTATGAAAATAATTAATTAAATGATAAATTTTAATCATAATTGTTATGTTATAACGTAATGTGTTTGAATACTGTTTTTCTTAAATTAATTTTAATAGAATTGAAGATGTTTGGATAATTTAATCAAAATTAATTTTTAGCTATATAAATTACTAGATAATTTAATTTTTAAATACCAGATATTAATTTTTTGAAGATACAAAGTTTAAATTTTATTAAGAAAAAAAAGAAAAGAAGAGAGTTTGATTTTATTTTTATTAAATTATGTGCTTTATTTGTAATTTTTTTTGGGTTTTTCTTTGTAATTGTCCTCAACATTTTTGACAAGCTTTTCCATAGAAGCTTCGATTCTCAACTTCCGAAAATAATCATTTTTTAGCCCAAAAATTGATTAATCAAAAAAGTGGATGTTTGGATAATTTTGTAGAAAATTGATTTTTTAGATCAAAAATTGATTCCTTTTGCTATCCAAACACACACTTAGACAACAAAATAAAAAATAAAATAATAGTTCATAGCTTGGGTATTTGGGCCAGTTTAAATAAGTTTGAAAACACAAGGAATTAGAGTCAAACTTAGTTATATAAACTTTTTTTTATACAATAAAATACTTTAAATTTGACTTGAATAAATCAGGCTTGAATTGAGCTAACTTAACTTGAATAAGTCTAGCCCATCTAAATTGATGGTTCTAACACCCCGAGGGTTCTTGTATAGCTTTATGGATCAACATTACACGGAATACTGGTTTGGTCCATGTTTGGAAATTTCGTGCAGCAGGCATTGTGTTTCTTGTCTTCTCAAACCTTTATTAACTCCTTCGTCCA